AAATGTCCACAGCTGAACATATGCCTTCCCCAGTAGTTGCTACGCTTGGCAGGCATATTGGCAATCGTAGTTAGGGCTTGGTGCTGTTTTAAGAGGGACGCTGCTGCCCATCTCTCGACCATTAAGTTCCCTTAGTTACCTTTTACGACACATTCGGAAAAAGAAAGGGTAGTTCATTTTATACCGGGGCCATACGACAGAAAAAATAAATTATAACGGATAATTAATTCCAAATACATAGATTATTTAAGTGAAAACTAATAACGTCCGTGCAACATGACTAATAACTTCATGCATAAGTAAACCCTAAGCAGACCGAGACGCATTCAAACAAAAAATGGTATTTTTATATTGGGACACTACTGTTGACCTCCTCGTGAACTAATGAATTAAATTACACTGTGCCAAGGAAATCTCGGTCTATTAAGTTAAGATATATAGAGAAAAAAATATGTCCACTGGTGTATTTTAATTACTAAGGTCAACAATTTAGCATGCAGAGACAGGTTTACCTACTTATTTAATCAATTCAACAAGTTGTTAAACAGAACTAATATCTACTTAATTTCAACTTAATTTTAACGTCATCAGTCTTGAACTAAAAGTAAATAAATCTACAGTCCTAAATAGTTTATTAATAGTCTTCAATCGATGCCACTTTTGTATATATAGTATCTTTACCAGAGGGAGACTTTGTACAAAAGTCGATTGCTTGGGTAACTCTGTCCCATTCGTGTTTCAACCGTAAAGCAGTTGTGTTTGCATGGCTGTGTTTCGGTTTGAAGGGTGGGATATGACGTGAATTTACTGGGTACAGAAGAATAACACCTGAGTCCTCAGGAATGGCAACGCATGGGGGGTATCATGGGCGAAACGGTATACTCTGTTATGTCCATGGTACTGCTCATGTCTATAGGCGACGGTTACTACTTTCCATCAGGTGGGCCGTCAGCTTGTTTGCCATTAAGTTGTATAAAAAAAAATATTTTGTCTGTATGGTTAAGGATAAGCAAGCTGAAGTGGCGATAGGATAGTCACATAACTCGAAGAACTGACTACTCATCTGGTAGAGAATTCCTTGTGTAACGTCCCCTTACGGGTAAACTCAGTGTAAAACAACCCCTCCACTAGATGGAGCGAAGACCTCAAATGCATTGCAGAGAGTGAGTGAATACAGATGGCTGAAGACCATTCCTAATGACAGTCTATGGAGGAAGCCTATACTCAACAGTGGACAGTTAACACCTAATTTGAAGATTATTTATGATACAAAAAATGGCAAACAAGTTGATATCCCTACTGATGGAAATTAGTGACCGTCGCCTGTAGACATGAACTGTACTATGAATATAATAGAATGCTACTATACAATACTGTACATAGAATATAGAACACTAGGATGCTGATAGTATCCCTCACCCGTTGCCATTCCTGAAAACTACGATGCCTTTGTACCCTATAATTTCACTGATTTTATTGTAGCAAATAACACTCCACCATTATATTTTATTATAATTTATGAAGACCTGGTTATGTTTAGTATTTTAATCACTATGTACACCATAATTTTTTATTCATTAATTTAATATATTTATTGCCATCTACATGGCACACTTGCGCTTTTCGCAAATTGATTTGAGTAAATAAAGTCTTAAATTCGATGCTTGTTAAATTCAATTTAGTAAAATTGACTTTCCCTAATCTCTCTGAATGTTTAAAGATCTAAGTAACAAGGATACGAAGATAAGAAAGTTTAGTAATCGTTGATCTAAGAAAATATCCCTAGAACCACAGATAACTTCCTCACAAACATATTATGTGTACTTTGCACCTAATTAAAAGTTGATATTCATTTGTTTTCTTGCTACAAAACATAATCTAGTTTATTGTGAACTTTAGCACTGGTGCTAAATCCATTATTTATATCATTTGGACTCGTAACCGTTAAACTAGCTCGCTTTTACTTTCTCCGATATTTATATGAACACCTACTTAGTGTATGTATGTTTTGTATTAAGTATAACGCTAACTGATCCATTGAATTTTAAAAATAGAAACATTTCTTAGCTTTTATTCGTATCGGAAAAAAGATTAGTGACAATGTAATTAAATATTTGGCCAAATTCGACTCTCGATGTCACCAAAGAAAGGGTGAGGGGAGTGGCCACCTCAGAATTGTCTAGTGCCAACCCCACGATTCGAGCGCAACTTCACAGACATGTGTGGATGTATATTTGCTCTTTTTTAAAAAGTCAGATCACCGCTAGAGAAAGATACAACTAGTCCCCCCCCCCTATTAATACGAACATGAATAGCCTTAATGTTTAGACAATTGATGTAATAGATTAATTAATAGGCTATTATTTATTTATTTATTTATTTAACTCTTTATTGCACCATAAATAAAAATATACAATGACAAGTGAATAATTCAAATGAAATACAGTAACATAAATATAGATTGAAATATACACATAAAGGTACAAAAGGTATTAATTCATTATCACTGCAAAATCTATATACCTCAAATGAAAACAAAATAATACACTTTATTTATAATAGACCTGGCCAAAATGGTAGTCATCAAATATTATAGTGTAAATACTAATACTGATATACATCACCTACTTAGTAAGGGTTTTTTTTATCTGGTGAAAATAGAATAACCTCGTCTGCGATATCGGTATGATGAAAGATAATGAAGTTAGGTTAGGTAGCCCATCGTTAGAATTAAAACCACGACAATTTCCAGAGAACACCAATTGGAGGTCACCTTGACTCTATTACTAACAATTCCTACCCCCTCCCTATGAGGGGAAGGATTGTTAGTAATGTGAATTACTAATCCAATACAAGCAATATACCCTGTCAGATCGACCTCCACGTGGTCCCCCCTGGAAACCGTGCTGAATTCCGGGTATATTCATCACGATGGGCTAACTGACCTGCATTTTCATTCTTACCTATCATCCCTCACTGGTGCCCCGCCAACATATACCGTTAGCGCAGGCGGGGTAATCAATCCATTATCATCCATTAAAAAAAACCCTACTTTGGGGTTAATCCATGATGAACTTAAGTACCATATACTAGATAGATCAGTTATAATTATTACATAATGAAATTGTTATATTCCAATAATGTTATAGTTTGAATGTAATTTATATAAACGATGTACATATCCATTATCTGTATTCAAAATAATGATGCTATCATTACAAAGAGTTAAAAGTTTGGATCTAATGTTTACCAACTAAAATTACACGAATGAATGCCATCCTTTATTGATAACTTAAAATAACTCCTTATTCCACAATATGAAATATTCTCTGTAAAAGATATCTTCGTGTTTTGATATATCCATAGTGGGTAGATACATAATAATAAACAACATGTTTATAACAACTAGGTACATTATAACTTTACTAATTTATTGCGTTTTCATAAATCAAAAAGAAAAAAACATACCAATATTAATCTTTAATTCGAATAATCACTACGTAATTTTTGTTCCATCGCCTAATATATGCAGATACTTAGTATGTAGGTACTCGATTTATTTATAAGAGCATACCTATATTAATTTTTATACTTAGAAGCAATTTATTAAAAAAAAACTGATAATGGGTAAATATTGGATAATAAATATTGTATTTTGTAAATTATTTTAAACTTTACACCACTTGACCTATATAATAATAAAAGGCCGCAACAATTATTTCTGTTGCTTCAAGTCGGTAGGTTGGTAGTTTGCCCTGAGTTCTCTCGATTTAAAATATTATAAACAACTGAAATAACAGAATCCCAACAGTGTAAGTCAGAAACAAACAAAAAGAACTTACTGCCACCGCCTTTTATCGTTCAGTTTAACAGATGCGCTGTTTCCCATGTTTTGTGACGGTCACCAGGTTAGTTCGATACACCTCCTTCAATAGTTTCCGAGTACCCGCGTACAAACAATCGAGTTGTTAATACCAACAACAGACGCGTGTTAGCCATTCGACTACCGTTGAGACTTTGCCCTACAATACAGGTAAACCGACTCCGCTGGCTGGCCATGACTTTCCCTCGACGGTACGTCTTTTTTGCGTCACTTCCTTGGCTTATGTCTAGATCTGTTATGTTTAAAAAACCTAATAGTTTATTACAATTCAATAATTCAGTCACTTATGTGTATGTTTCTTTGATTACCATTATCAGATAATGGATCATGGAGGTGGCCATGGGAACTTTATTAAAGTATAGGCAAAGTTGCAGAAATTCTACTAATAAGTTTTATGAATACGAAAGTTTGTAAATGTGTTTTTATTGTTAAATTTAATCGCTCAGGTAACCTTAAACGATTGGACGGATTTATCCGTTAAATAAACCATTTAGATACGTATTGGATTAATATATAGGATAATAAGATGGTTTTGTAACACATGGATTACGCTGTGGCTTACAAGTTTTACTGTAATAAATCTAATGAAGGATTTGAACATAAACATTTGTCATTCTAAACTTCTTTCTTTTTACTCTGTTTGGCTATTTGTGTGTCATCATTTTTGTAAAGATAATGTCTTTTGATATATAAATTGACTAATCTTTGGCACAATTGAAATCAAGATGCTTTGACTAAATGGGTTCTGGAATTAAACAAAGGTAAGGTAAAGGCACATAAGAAATTATCGTTTTCTTCAAGACTAGCTCCAATTAGCAATTTAGCTCAATTTTTAATTTTTCTACTAAAAAGTCACATTTATAATTCAGGTCAGCTCGAAAACCTAATGCGGACTCAGCAGCATTAAATTCGTCTGGAAAGAAAACAGTATCTAAAGATAAAATTTATATTACAATGTAACCACTCAAGATGCCCTATCACTCTCTCACGACTCGCCTGATTTTTTATTAGGTAACAGTAAGGTATTATTTTAAATTTTTAAATAGAATAGGGCCTCACCGACTGTTTGTCTTTGCCTTTCTTGTAATAATTTGACAGTGACAGACAATTTGACATCACTGACATTGACTATGTTGTAGGTATATACGTAGGTACACCAAAGGTACACCATGATTTTAGGTTACGTTATAAATTAAACGTAAACAATAACTTTAATTTGTATAATACATACATAAATTTTAATTGCTTTGTAATTCGTAACTATGAAAAAAGAAGGTAAGTTAAATAATAATACAATAAATACTTTTAGAAGTTGAAAATTACTCTAATTCATTTCGTCATAATTACGACAACTATCATCCACTACATTCCCGATTTAAACATTTAATTTATTATTATTTTTTTAGAAGTACAAGATATTTTTCTTAAAATATTGAAAGAAGAAGAAGATGTATCAGCAGGAGTGGCTGCTATTAAAACACTACTTACTGTAATAGAAAATTATAAAGGTGAGCTTGTAACCAATCATTCAATGAAATAAACCATACAGCAAAGACAAATTAAATTAAAATTTATAATTGAAAGGAAATTTCGATTCTGTTTGACTAGTCCATTGAGATGATGCTGGCAGCACCTGTGGATCCTTCCATATGGATGCAACTTCTTAAATCAAATATAGTGGTTTTTACCTTTTTTGTAAATTTTCTGTTTACGTTTTGGCTTATTTAAAGGGTGGGAGGTATTGTTTAGTGCCCATCCTAGGAAATGAGCGGAGATTTTAACTATGCACAAAAGCATTAATAATACTACTTATAAATATAATGTGCCTTTTTTAAAATAATTTTAAATATGTAAATTTTTTTATTAAACCCATTTAAATAATAAGTAATATAATAAAAACATTATATTTATATGGTATATTACTATGGGTATATATATGCACAAGCTGTGCACTGTTATTTTTTATTTTGAAATAAGTCCTAATTTACTTGCTAATAATGTCCATTTCTGTAGCTTAAAGATTTTTTTATAATTGGTTAATTCGTTTTTTATATTATCCTGTACAAACAAACAAATGATCAAATCTTTTTAATATTAGTATTAAGTTCTTTAAAAATCCCCAATAATAGTACTACAGTACAGTTCATTATAATAACAGATTATTACATTGGGAGACAGGCATGACAGATATGTATGTATGTATGTTCATTAAATGATATTATTATTTTAGTGACTACAGTGAGAGAGCTTGATCTGAACCTACAACTGGCAGTGGAAGCGATGCGGCATTGTGACCAGCCTGTTGCTGCTATCTCCTCTGGCTGCGAATTATTTATGAGGTTTATCACATTTGCTAAAATTGATGTTAAAGTGAGTAACTTCCAATATTTTATTATGATTACATTCATTATCATCATTTTAGCTATTATCTGTCCACTGCTGAACATAGGCCTCCCCTATAGACTGCCACAAGGAACGGTCCTAAGTCACTCCATCTAGTGGGGGATCATCCTACACATTAATGGTTACATTAACATGACACAATTACAATTATCAAGGAATTACATCTGAATCCTTAGGAATGGCAGTGTTTGAGGGGTACCATGATTATAAAAGTGTAATGGTTCATGCTAATCTCTGAGCCAATTTATTTAAATTTTATAAGTTTGTATGTGTATGCTCCAACTTGAGAGAAAAGTTTTTCACTTCAATAAGAAAAATAGAGCTAGTAGATGGAAGTTGAGAACAAAACAATATTTCCCAGTTAACTAAGTTAAGTAAGTTAGTTAATATTATAAATGTGAAAGTTTGTAATCATGTGTGAGTGTTTGTTATATAAGAACATTTAAAATACTCAATTATTTTTAATGAAATTTGCTACAATAATAGACTTATAACCTGTATTAACAAATTATTAAAATACTTTTTATCCTGATATATGCAGGAAAAGCTTTGAATACTGATAATAATTACCTTATTACAACATACTATTTTTATTTGTTACAGTCATTTGAAGAGTGTGAGCAAATAATGTTACAAAGAGGTCACATTTTCTTAAATCAACTGTTAGAAGCCAGAGGAAAGGTTGCTGAACAAGCCTTGCCGTTTATTAGTGATGGATGTGTATGTATATAATTACAAGTCAATTTGTTGTTCTAAGTATCATGAAAGATAAACCTCAATTGTATATGAAAGTATGAGTTCATAGACAATTGAGGTTGACATATATTTTTTTGCCTTATTCATTTTCCAACTACATCCAAACTGATTCAAATGATTTTGGAATGTTTTTTACTACCATATAAAAAAATTACAATAAAAAAATATATGCTTTAAACCTAAGAACAAAGAACTACATAGAAGAAATGATAAAATAAAAACTATAAATCATATAGTTGCCTCCTTTCTTCTTATGCAAATATAATTAATAAAAAGAGCACGAAAGATACACCATCAGTTGCTATTTTCCTTATTCATAGCAAGGTAGTATATAGAAAATGTTTGATATGTCAATTATTTGTCAATAACAAATTTTACATTACTAGATTATATATTCAATACAGTTTACAGAAAGTATGCAAGGTTGTATCTAAATTTGGTAGGGTTATACGGCAGTATAACATTTTCTATACACTAATCTACTATGAATTGACAAAAATAGCAACCGATGGTGTATCTTTCGTTTTCTTTTTACTAGTTTTATTTGCATAAGAAGAAAGGAGGCAACCCTATGATTTACAGTTTTCATTTTGTCATTCATTCTATGTAATTCCTTGTTTTTAGCTTTAAATTAAGTATTCTTTAACATAAAAGATCATAGATTAAAAATCATACCAAGTTATTTTAATGATATAGAGAGACCTTTTATTTTGTATAATATGAACTATCTTTTTAGAAAATATTAACTCATTCTCGGTCCAGAGTAGTTTTACAAGCAATGTTGGAAGCAGCAAAAGCCAACAAAAGATTTCAAGTATTTGTTACAATGTCCTGTCCAGACAACAGTGGGTAAGTAGTATATATTTAACCTTAATATATCTTTAATCTATATTCTCTTTTTTTTAACCACATCCAAAGATATGAGAAAGTTGAAATTCAACCTATTTTTTTATGTTACGCTATATAACTGCAATTGTGAATTGATACATTAATTTTGCAATCACTATTGTTTACACAATTTTTTCACAATCACACTTCAACAGCTGGATGGATTTGAATGGAATTTAGTTAACAAATAAATCTATTTTTTTTTATGCAACTTAGAATGGCAAACAAGCTGATGGCCCGCCTAATGGAAAGTAGTAACCGTTGCCTATAGACATGAGCAGTACCATGGACATAACAGAGAATACTGTTTCGCCCATGATACCCCCCATGCATTGCCATTCCTGAGGACTCAGGTGTTATTCCTCTGTACCCAGATATGGCGTGAATTTATCACGCCATATCCCACCCTTCAAACCGAAACTCAGACATGCAAACATAACTGCTTAACGGTTGAAACACGAATGGGACAGAGGTACCCAAGCAATCGACTTTTGTACAAAGTCTCCCTCTGGTGAAATCTTATTGTAGGTTAATAAATATGTAGGATACAGGATACAAAAGCACCCTAGTCCTCAGGGATGGCAATATATGAATGGTATCATGGGTGTCACAGTATATTCTGTGATGTCAATAAGGCTGTTCATGTCCATAGATGACGGTTATTGTATATATATAGTTGCATAATTTTTTTTTTTTTTTTTATAAAACTAGTTATTACTGTCATCATTATTTCAGCCATTATCCATCCATTTTTACTATATACCACTATTATTCACTAATGAATATTACAAATGTACTTAATAAACTTTTATCGATTTTAGGGAACTAATGCATAAGCAACTAGTGTCTGCTGGTGTAGACGCCACTCTGATCCTAGACTCGTCAGTGGGTTACATTATGGAGCAGGTGGATATAGTAATGATCGGCGCCGAGGGCGTCACAGAGAGCGGTGGAATTATAAACAAGGTAGGCATATGCATGTAACTTATCGTCATTCTACTTTTAAATAACTTCCAAAAAAGGCGATTATAATTTATCTAGCTGTTTTTTTTTTTTTGCAAGTATATTACGGGATTACGTCCTAATTCCAAACTGATTTTTATGATTATTATTGCAATTGATAGAAATTTTTGCTTGTGTTGGTTCTAGTTTAATTTAATAACTATAAAAATCGCTTTTTTACTTTGCTAAATAAAAAATTGCTTATTGCAAAGCAAAATTTATATGTGAACACAAATTCTACAGAAAATCTCTATGCGTGTCATATTTTTTTATAAGTATCGTTATTTATATGGCTGTTGCATTTTCAATGGAAAAATAATCTGCCATCTGATTCAGACAATTCATCTGAATTAGCTGTTTTCGTTTTGGCCAACCTGTCCCTTCCACTCTGTATATAATAGGACATTGGTAATATGTAGTAAGTCAAGTAGTATGCCATATCAGAAACATTAAATTTATGTACAAATATAAATGTGAATATTTTCTATAACTTACAGATTGGCACGTACGGTCTAGGAATGGCCGCACTCGAGCTAAAGAAACCAGTATACGTACTGGCCGAGAGTTTCAAATTCTCAAGGATATACCCACTGAACCAACAGGATCTACCCATCGAATTCAAGTACCTTTCAAGTGTCATAAAGTCAAAGAAAAACCTCTCTCAGGAACATCCCTTAGTGGATTATACCCCACCGGCTTACATCACACTTCTCTTTACCGATCTAGGTATACTTACGCCCTCGGCCGTTAGTGATGAACTTATTAATTTGTATTTGTAATTATATAATTGATTGATTAAAAAACTGTATATACTTTTGTAAGCTTTTTTTTTATAACTGATATTATTTTAAAAGTTGCCAAGTGAAAGTGGTCTTGTTTAGAGAGTAAAATGTTGGCCAAGATATCATCGTCACTTCACATATAATCTTAAATTTCCATTTTGCAGTTATATATAGACGAGTTTTGCGACTTTAGCCACGTAACAGAGATATGATAACAAACAAACTCACTTTCACATTTATTATTGTTTTTTTTTTTTTTTATACTAATATATAGTAAACAAGCGTACGGCCAGTTTGATAGTGAACGATTACCATAGCTTATGTACGCCTGCAACGCTAAGGCTGTTTCTTGCGCATTCTTGATACTTTTGAAAAACATTTCTGGATTTTCATACTTATTCAACGTATTTAGCACTTTTAATATGACTTGAACGAAATATATAAAATAAACATATAGCTTGAATACTATAGATAATAAAGGATAAATATGATTTAGGTAATAGTCAAGTAAATGAAAAAGTGAGACTTGAGGGTAGACGGATAGTGTTCGATCGCACTAAAATGGCTAGTCATATTTGAATTAAATTTCATACACAATCTTTTTTTTTTTTTTTTTCAACAAAGTTACACCAATCTCTTGGTTCTAAAGCTTAAATATCCTGAGCTATGAGGAACAATGCAACGAACATCTGGAGACAACACGCACAACATTCAGGCCCAAAATATTAAAAAATAAATTGTTTCCTAAAATTAACCCGACCGGGAATCGAACACGAGAAATAACATCCATACATCTAAACATACAAATATTACGGAATCGTTGGATAATTCTATTATAATTACAAAATAATACACACAAATTTAAGAGTTCAAAATAATCTGGCACTTTAATATATGTTTAAAAAAATATTTACATTCATAATACTCTAAGTTACATTACATAAACTAATAGAATAAACACTGAATCAACTTTAGTATTCGTATCTCACTTTATGTTACATTTATTAATATAACTCACATTCCAATTATCATGCTCAGTCGCGGGCAAGAATAACAAAATAACACTAATAATTGTATGGAAGCAATCATCATCTATTCATGGAAGCACAATTAGTATTATCACAAACGTTTTAATTAAAACATTCGACGATTATAGAACAAAAAAATACAAAGGGGCATTTAAACGTATACATAAATCCAAATTATAACAATTAACTCTAGAATATATTGGTTTATCATTACTCTAAATGTTTTAAGTTGTTTTAAACTATAAAAATAAAATCTTACAATCTCCACGGGTTTATATATAAAAAGTTGATAGTACATGACATTTTCTTAAACAATACAAAATAATTACAATACTTAATTCAATACATAAACATGATTCGAACAACAGACTATAATACGCCTAATTGTACTATTACATAAGATACGTATTCCCACGTCATATATTGAGAATATAATACAAATTATTTATTATAAACTTGCTAAAAGTACCATTCGAAAGAGATCAACACTAAAACAACGTGAGGAATTCCAATAATAATACTATGAAACAAGTTAGTCGTTTGAATACATCGTACCAAATCACGTCACACACAGAACGCCCACAGTCAATGTTTTATACAAGTTGGGAAATATCAAAAGAAGCCTTTAGTATTTACAGACCATACCCATTTAGTAAAAAACACCGATTAAAGTTTAAAATACCGTGACATGCTATTTGCACTTATCAGTGCAATTCAGTATTCAATGATTGATCTGGAGTCACAGATACAAGTACGAAGTAAAAAGAAAATAAATCTATAAAGCGCGGAAAAAAGATATAAACATTGTCACTCAGTACATATTTTCTGGACGATATTTAAAAAAAAAAAGAATTAAAAAAATACAAATGACAGATGAATTTTTTGTTATCCATCTGCAACACTGGCAAACACTAAATATTTACACTACAAAGAAGAGTAATGCCATACAAGATATATAGACCAATATAATTTTCACTGACGCCGATTGTCTGTGGCACTCCGAAATTGTCATCCTCACAGAGTGCTTAAGTGCCTTGTGTTTCGATTGCTATTACATACACATGATGAAATAATTGGGTATGAACTTATAATATCTACTCCATTTTCTTATTTTATAGAAACAGTTTTAATACATAATGGAATTTATAAAATATACGTACACAACTTTGTAAGACATAAAACAAAATGGCGCAAAAGAATATTTGTAGATACATAAGCCATAATGTATATACCTACCTTCTATTAGTTATTAATTGTTAACATTATGCTAATATAAAATTAAAATACGAATATTTTTACAACATTAATATACCTGTATAAGGTTTAGCAAATGCAAAACGAACCTCTTTTAAATTTCTACTATTTATTTGTATTATCAAAGAATAAAGAAATATCAAAGAAAAAATAAAAAAAAATTAGAATATTAAAACATGGCCATCAATTTTATAAAAACAATACAATGTTGTAACGATTTAGTGATCTAACTAACTCGCACAGCCGCAATAATTTCGCTTACATTTTTTCTAACGTGCCCCATATGCCTCTTTCTTAGATTATATAGATAGAGTAAATGCTTCGAGAAAAGCGGGTCAACTTTTTCATACAACTTTGCGTGACTAATCATTATGAATGTTTCCTTTATAACTTCTAAATTTATTTTATTTTATAATTTTTGCATCTTTTTAATGCGTGAAAACTCATATATTAAATAATTCGGTATAGATACGTCACGACACATTATGTGCGTAAGTACATAGAAAACTAGTAAAAAAAACGAGTCAGTTAATTTGACAATTAGCTGACAAAAAGTTGACCCGTTTTTGAGACTCGATGCTTTATTTATATAATCAAGACTTCTTTATAAAAAAAATTGCAATTTAATCTAGAAACGTTCAACTTCCATCTTATTTATTACTGTAAGATCTACTCTGACTTATATAATGCTAAATTGTCGAATTAATAATTCGGTCGCTTGTTAGTATGTAATGCCTTAGGTATTTTTATATAGATTTATTATTAAATGACAAATTGTCATTGATTAAGCGTGATTTTATTAATTGTACTTATCCAAAGAGCGATACGAATGGAGCTTTCGCATTAGATCATTTTGGATTCGACACTGGATCAATATTTGAGGATCCAAACGGCTCCGCACTTTACCTTCGATCGTGGTATTGGCACTTTTATCACTGGTCTGTTATCTATTGTATATGTTGTCGATAATTGTGTATATTTGATGGAAATGTGGCCGTTTTTCAGGCTCATACTCCCAGCACCGTAGCATCAGTGCGTACACGTCTTCTGAACAGGATTCGGGTGCTGGCATTCGGTAGCCTGTCAATAATCAAAATGTTCTTTTATCAAGTAAAGAAACTGTTTTAATGTTAATGTAGAAAATATTATCTATTTCCAAATTAGGGTTTAACTGATTTATTTTAACTAAAACCAAATGCTATGATTAAACCCAATATGATATTTGTCCGATAGTTAAAACAATTTAATGACTTAAACATTGTCTTTAGTATTTTCTAACCAATACATGCAGTAGTCTATTAAAATAATAATAAAAAAAAATTAAAAAGGCAAGACATGTCTCATACCCGTATCTATTTTTTCTCTAGCCCGCGAGTTGCTCATGCCTGCATACGGAGTATCGCCCTTGGAGAATATCTCCCACATCAACACTCCATAGCTCCACACGTCACATAACGAAGTGTATTTACCTTAAAAACGAAGTATATATTATTGCTAAAAAATAATATTTAAATTCTATATTACGCATGAAGAGGGGCATCATAACTGGTAATATCTGAAATCAGTATATTTAAAACATAATCGCTGAGGGTGTATCCCTAAATTATTCAGAATAAAAAAATTTGAAAAAAAATTAAATATTATATTAAATATTCTATTTTACCAATATACAATACAAATATTTCGTTCTAATCTATAATACATGACCATAGACTTATGTCGTATAACGTACTTAGGTGACATACCTAGATTAATAGTACACAATCACCTCAACAATACTTATACAAAAGGTTAATTAGGATGCACTGTACATACAAACCTTTCGTAAAAATATCTATATAAGAATGAAACACGTATTAAATTCTGATGCGTGGATTTTTAAAAAAAGTAAGCAGAAAAACAGACAGAAGGTACAGACTTTAGATTTAGACATTGATTTTATTTTATAGTACTTACACTAGCTTACCGAGCAAACGTTGAATTGTCTAACACTACCGGAGGGGAAAGGATTGCTAGTAATGGGGCCTAGAAATCCCATTGCTAATAATGTACCCTATCTAGTCAACCTCCACGCGGTTCCCCTACAAACCATCATGGTAGATTCTTGAATTCGTCACGAATCACATGGACTAACTGTCCATTCTCGTCAACTGCTTTCATTCTCATCTATCATTGGTGACATTACCAGCATATACCGACAACGTAGATGGGACTACCATTCTATTGCAATTCATAAAAGAAATAAAATAAGGACCGGGCAAGTACAGCTAGCTTCGTTTATCTTATCAGGATAAACCTATTTCTTAAATTGGAATAAACAATACACATTTACAAAAAAAAAAATATATACAATAACTCACCAAAATTCAATGCCTCTGGCGCAGTCCATTTTATTGGTATCTGTTTCATGCCTCCCGACACAATATACTCTTCCTCCTCTCTAGACATTCCGAAGTCTGATATCTTGACGATGTTCTCGTCACCCACAAGGCAATTCCTGGCAGCCAGGTCCCGGTGAATGCAGTTCTTCGACTCGAGGTAGCGCATGCCCGCAGCCGCGTCGCGACACATTGCAAGAAGAGAGCGCGAACTCATGGATGAGGCCCGTGTACGGAGAAACGTGAGGAGAGAACCACCTATGGGAATGACAACCATACAATTATAGCTAAGTGATCTGACGTGATATTTTATATATAACATCAGTTGAGCTTTTAAATATTAACTGGATGAATAGTATATGAGTGGTATATAAAATAGAACAAGTAGATGTGATGTGAAAAGTTCTAAAAACGGAATGTTTTGCAAAATCATTTTCTTTTGTGCAAAGTAGAGTATGTCTAATATATTTTTATTTAAAAACTATCCTTTGATTTGTCATGGTTACTTTGATAATTTTTCAAATTTTTATGTATTAAACGAAACGAAACAATCGTTTTCATGAAAATAATACTATCACAAATATTAGAAATTAAAAATAACCTAAGAAAACCAGTTTAACACAAAAAGTCCATCTACTTGTATTCTAGACTAACAATTTTTAGACAAGACTAATTTAATTTCATATTTTTTTTTTTTTATTTACAAATATGAAATTCAGCCGATTAATTGTCTGATTTTATATTTTAAGATTTTGTTTCGCAAAAAAAAAAAAGAAAAACTCTGACTTTAATCGTAGCAAACCAGTTATTTTCATTTAAAAAATATATTTAAATTCAGTTGAAAGTGGATACAGTCTTGTTGATATTTACCCGAAACAAGTTCCATAACAATCATGATGGGCTGCTTCTGTACCGCGATTCCTATGAGCCGCACGATATTAGGATGCTGGTATTGCTTTAGTATTCGGCCTTCTTGCAGGAAAGTGCGTTTCTGTTCCTCGGGCAGCGCCACCCGACAGGTCTTCACAGCTACTTCTTGTCCCGTTGTCTTCAACCGCGCTTTGTATACGTCACCAAAGTTACCCTGTAAAATTAAAATTGCCACAATGTACCATTACTTATACTACTATATATATATATACAGATCCTGTATATCTTAATGTAAATAAGTTATCTACTAATCTTTTAAAGGATTTGTATTTCTTAATTTTTTTCGAAGAGACTTTTATTCTTTATAGAATGAAACTGGTAATACCGCTTGTCGGAATACGCTGTCCCGCTCGCGGAATATAAATTAAAGATGACAGACGAGAGGATGAAGTCAAATCAATTCACCTTCTTAATAAAAAGTGAAATCACGATTGTTTTTAGAAAACAAAGTGTGTATTTTTGTTTACTAGATAATAGTGAAATGGTAACCTCGCCTGCACTAACCTATACACTGATAGGGCATCAGTAAGAGATAATAGGTGATAGTGAAAAAGCAGAACAAACAGACGACGGTTTCCAGAATGAATCACGGGGAGGTCGACCTTATAGGGTATATTGCTAACAATGGGATAGTTACACACAATTACTAACAATCCCTTTCCCCCCCTCCCCCTACTTTATATTTCTAGCACTGCTAGTCTCGTTACCACAAACTCCTCACCATATAAAAGAATTTTAGTATACTATATTAGGTACAAACTTGGGTCAGGCTAGGGTTGCTAGGACCTTATAATTATTTATTGCTGTAAATACTTTACTCACGTGAGTACAACCAATTTAATGGTCGAAGGATGGACAGCAGCACCCCTCTTAAAACATCAAAAAGCCTAACTGCGGTTGCCCAATGGCAAATACCTACTAGCAGGAAATGACTCCCAGTACTTTGGCTCGGGATCGTTCCTTATGACTTTCTTTAGACATCCCTTAGACAGTTAACGACTGATATGACGATAAGAGGTTCAACTAATATAAATAATTATAATATAGAATATATATATTTATATTGGTGTTTAACATTTTTAGAGTTAGCTCTAATGTATTTTGTTTTTCTAATCACCTAATATCGTATATTAGTTACTTATTTACGAGAAGATAGTTACGATACAAAGGAACATTTACCCGTCCAATCTTATCCAAAAGCTGCACATCATCGTTGTTCAGTTCCCAGTTCTCCCGCGGCACGGCCCGGCGCAGCAAAGCACCCGAGCGAGCCGTGACCGGCACGCCGCTCGTCCGCTGCCAAGCAATCAGCTCCGCCACCGATGGGAACGCGGCACCCTCAAACCTATAGTGACCCTGCAACCGAACGGTTGAAAAATAAAAATGCTTTACTTTCTTTTTACAGCATCATATTCAACAATTTCCTGCTATAACAACAGAGGAAGATTTTGTACAAAATTTATCTGCATGTGAACATCTGTCTTTTTTTATACCACTGAGGTGGCAAACAAGCATACGGCCCACCTGATGGTAAGTGGTTACCATAGCCTATGAACACCTGCAATACCAGAGGTATTACGCATGCGTTGCCGACCCTGAAGAAACCTCTTTACCCCCCTTTTGAAGAACCCCATGCTGTAGTCTCTTGGGAAAACCTCGGCAGGGAGCTCATTCCACAACCTGAGTGTTCGTGGGAGCAAACATCTCTGAAACCGCGCAGTACGCGACCATTGAGGCTGTAGGACATGAGGATGAACTCCCTGTCGATGGCGAGCCGTACGATGGTAGAAACTGGCTGTGGGCATCATATTGAACAGTTCATCTGAGCACAATCCATTGTACAGGCGGTAGAACACGCAGAGTGAGGCAAAATTTCTCCTAAGACTTAAGGGCTCGATACCGCTTGTGAGCTCGTGTCTTTACACCAACTATATTGTTACCGTGAAGCCATTGTGTTTGCATGGCTATGTTTCGGTTTCAATGGTGGGATATAGCAGTGAAATTACGGGACACGAGGGATTAATAACTTCCTTAGAAAATAGGCTTCACGATTTCCGTTTTAACAATAATTTTAAACAATTACTTATTACTACTTTTTGCAAAGAAAAAATAAAATATTTCGAAACCCTCAAAATTCCTTCATATTTTAAATCATCAGTTTAGGATAACTAGAATTTTATTATTCTGAATAAAAGATTTTGTACTTAGATACCTACGCAAAGGTTACATTATCAAACACTAGGTACTGTTCAAGATTTTTGTAAAAACCTATTTCATGATTAAAAAATCCAGTATCCAACAGACAATAATTAAATATCTAATTATAGAATGATAGTTCGCAAACGTTTTCCTTCTATGACGCCAGCCAGAGCAAAGCAAAACAACGTAACATGTAGCTATATCATCTGTAGGTGTCATACCTACTGTTCTAATCTATTTATACAGTATACAGTAAGAAAACGAATGGAAACATTGCCGTAACACTCATAATTGCATGAATCAAGGGAAGTTTATAAGCCAATAACTTTGATGGTTCGGCCACATCTTTCGATATGCATATAAGTAAAGCCGTAACAAAACGGCAGAATTCATGCTGATGGCAATATAGGAGTGGATATTTTTTAATTAATAATTATCAAATAAGTCCAATATGTAATCATAGGATTTCATGGCTTGAATAACAACATATTTTTTAATATATTTTCACACCATTGCAAAATATCATTGAAGATGTCGACTGATTGTCAATGTATGAAAATAATTTCTATTATAATTGTTTTTTTTTTTTTAATTATCGAATAATTTTTATATATGTAATATAATTTTATTGATTATAAAAAGAATTGGTAATAAGAAGTATAAGTTTCATATTAATTATACTCTTTCCGTAATGAACTTTAAGGCATAATATAAATATGTTATACCCAATTCTGACTTTTACTGAATAATTACTCACCTCTGGTGTAGTCTGCACGATGAAATGTTTATGCTGCCCCCAGCAAACGGACAGCACTAATTGCCGAGCGTGGTTCCTGGTCGTCTCTCTCACCAGGTAGTCCCCATCAGCCCTCAGCAGTCGTACTACTTCTTCCCGTGGTAGTACTCCGTGGAACCACTCCTGTTCCACTAGCGACCGTTCTGTTTCGCTCACACTCACCTACAAGGAAGTCATTATGAGTTAAATAACCAAGAAAAAGTTAAATCATTTAAATCATAATGTAGACAAAAAATCATTTCATATAAATATATATATATATATATATATATATATATATATATATATATATATATATATATATATATATATATATATATATATATATATATATATATATATATATATATAATGAACTATATTGTGTACAGTATCACATTTTCGTACTTTTGAAATATAAGGGCGATAACAGATAGGGTTTCTTTTCACTTCGCCAATATTGTGTCTAAAAATAATATTGTGCGCGGTTAAACCATACTCGGCTGACCACAAACATATATGCGAGTACATACTTCAGTTCTATTTAAGGATGCTATCACGTACTGTCATAAAAATAGTAAATAACTATTCTTATGGTAATTGGAACCGATTCTGATGTGCCATTCTCTATCTCTAAAATTAAAATATCATAGCGAAATATTTATTGTAAAGATTAACATAGTTTTCTAATAAATTTGAGTTAAAATTTAATTTGAAATTATTATATATTTATTTTATAATGGTACATAAAGTATTTGCCTTCCGATGCAGTATGTCTTCACTTAAATAATGCAATAATCCCAGTTAGACGTCGTACCTATCATTACTCCTTTTTCGTTCTTATCATTAGCCACATCCACTTTCACACAGTCCATCCACCCTTTCATTAATCTTCAAATTACCCTTTCGTTAAGAGGCGGAGATCCGCCTCTCTCATATAAAAATTTATTTCGAATTAAAATTTAGCAGAACTCCAAGTAGATTCTTTTGAATTTACTTAGAGAAAAAATACTGAAACACAAAGCATATGCAGTTGCAATATGTATTTAAATCTATGCCTGTGGGTCAACAATACTTATAGTAAAAATACAGTTAAAATATTAGGGCATTTCACTGATAGCACACTTGATACATGCAAACAAACACACACATAATATAATAATCAAGTTTGTGGCTTAAATAATTATTATTGCAACTGAACCAATAATAAGATAAAACGAATAATTAAATTTTAATACCACAAACTGGATTATATTCCTAAACATATTTATACTATAATTATCAACAAAGGCACACGCACACAAACAATAACATACGTATTCGTTTTCTAGTTCAAGTTGTAGTTGCTTTAGTCGCTTCTTCCTTCTTGGTACGACGACAGGCGGCGGCAACTCCGAGTGTGTTATATACATGGAGAACGGATCCATTTATCTCAATAATTTATGATAATATTCACAATAAACATAGGTAACTGCAACTATCTTTTTATCATGTTCACATTAAATAAATACGAGAAAAACAGGATGAAGTTGACGTAAAACTCTCGACAGAAGCACATACTGCCGACGCACGGACGCAAGAACTAACAAACATTCTGGAACGTCGCAAGCGACTTCACCTTGATTTTGAAACTGAGTTTTAGTGGAAGCCGGTGCTATTTTAATTTGATTCGAAAGCTTATTCCGAAACGAAGTTCGTGCGGTGCACGGTGACGCTAAATTTAGCATCAACACGACGAAATTGTGCTCCGTTCTTTCAGTGCCACGCTGTAGGGGATAGAAGCGTCATGCACCCTATAAATTTCATGCCATGCGTGACGTAACGGCTTTGGTTAGCGGCACTCACCACACTGTTAGAACAATTATTGGCTACATTGCGGTTTCTTCGTCTTTTTCGGAACACACTCTTGTTTTTTATACGGCAATTCACATAAACATCAACACGCTTGCGCAAACGTCGCTTGAGGACTGTCATCCGTCCTTTGCGAAGTGCGAGCACTGTTACCATATCTGTGGGGCCCTCGCTACTGCTTCGATATGTTCTTGGAGGGAGCGCAGGGCTCGAGGGTACGGATTTACGTCGAAATGGCCGTGTAAATATTCTGAAGAACGGCTTCGGTGGTATTATCGAGTGAAGGTGCAACCGCAAAGCGTCCATGGATGCTTTAGACCCGAGCGATGCACGGTCCTGATAATTGATTTTAGAATTTATTTGTCTCTAGTTTCCCGATAACAGGAACATAATAGTGTAACATTGTAATAGCCTAATAAGGTTATTACAATACTTTACAATACCAAAGAGATTATTTTACAATGAAGACAAACAGAAAGGATAACAGGATGGATGTAAGAAAACCACTATACAGACACCAAATGAAAACATTGATATTTCTCTTATAATTTTCTTTGTCTTAAAGTTTAAAATAATTTTAATGTTTTATAAGTAACATACAATCACAACAATTACCTGGCTCCCAAGTTAGGAAACTCTGGTGTTATTAGCATACTGGGAGCAAAACCCAGAACATTCTGACTGAAGTCAATTTTATGACATCTACTTTCTAAATTGGCCTGATCGAATCCGAACCTCGCTTACGTAAATAAACATTACTGCACAAATAAAATCGTAAAAATCATCTATAGAGAATCTGAATTATCTACGTATAAAAAAAAGATCAACATAACTAATGTAAATCGAAACAAAAAATCAACAAATAAGATTGTTACAAATATCTAACCGTATTTGAACAGTAATATTAATATGCGCACAAATCTAATAACATGTATAAATATTGAAGACACCAACACCAGATTAAGACCTTGTTACCTAAACCCCCGATTATTGCATAAATACCTATATAAAAAATAGGCCCACGTTACCTGGTGATCAGGCGAGCTGCCGTCTAGACTGTCAACTCCTACTGTCTCCGCGGATAGGTCCGGACAACCACTGGGAGCCTCCTCGCAACCCAGCTCTGCTAAGGCTGAACGGATCATCTCGGCTTGTTTAGCACATTTCCGTTCTGCTACTCGTAGTTCCAATAACTTAATGGGTTCCGACGTGGTTACTGGGATTGGTGGTGGTGAATGCCTGTAGAGGAAGTATATAATATAACGGCAAAGAAGTAAATTTTATAACTTTTTATTGTATTGGTGATTTAATTTCAATAAAATTTAGACATTTACTGAAGGCAAAGTCGGGATACGCGCCTGGGTGTCTACTATCATCTGGGCTTTCTGCTTTAAATCAGTAAATCATCAAATGATTATATTGTTTCGTTTTGAACAATCAGATAGACATAGATCTAAAAAAATATAATAAATATGCATATATTTTGCATGCAAAGTTATTACTCCAAGTAATCTTAAAAAAATTTACTTATATTCCGTATAAATTTCGAATCAGGGTTCCAAGACGTTTGTCAAAAAATGTTTAGAGGATTAACCATTCACATATTTACAATTATTTTCTAGGCAGAACCTGATTCCTAAAAAGGCGCATATGTACTCTGAGACATGTCTTTGGGAAGCTTTGCTCATACCAAAATTCGATATTAGACTTAAATACGCCTATGGGATTAACAAAAACAGATGGTATTACAGGTGGCATTTCCGAAAGGATTTGATGTATAGGGGTATTTACTATCAATAAATAACTTGTGTAATATATGAATCCCTCCTACCTCTTTTCTTTTCAAAACAACATGTGCTAGGCTCAAATACCATCCACACGTAATATTGGCGTTGACTGGGCGCAATAAAAGATTCGTGGGTTTAAAGAAAAGTACATAAAATGACACGTCTGAATAGAAAACCAGTATTGTTTTTAAAGTATTCATTACATATTACAGAAAATAATACCTATCGATTCCATTAACGCCATTAGTGAGTCCGGTGTTATTATTCTTGCAGACACCATTGCCTATAATCTCAGGGCCCTGCAACGCTGTTTGCTTTTCCCTGTTGTCCTGCAGTATGCCCTCCAGTTCTGTTAACTTCTCCTTGAGCCATTCCACTGTGAGGTTGTCCACAGTGAGCTGGTTCGGTTGAAGTTTACCACTCGTATCTTCGACTAGACTTTCATCAAATGTAAATACTATTGGCGTTGAAGGCGGTGATCTGTAAATAAATAAATATGTTTAAAAATTAATTAGTGGTCGGTTCACCAGAAAAGATGTCATCCATATGAATACAGCTGTCTTATTCCTGTTTCGTTACACCACTGAAGTGGCAAACATGCGGACAACCTACCTGATGGTCAGCAGTTACCATAACCTATGAACGCCTGCAATAACAAGGGCATTATGAGCGCATTGCCAGCCCTGAATAAACCTCTTTACCCCATGCTGTAGTCTCTTGGAAAAACCTCGACAGGGAACTTTTTGCTGCCAAGCTGCTGTACTTGCTTGTTAGTGTACCGGTTTGAAAAGTGTGATGTGGCAACAAAAGTACTCGATACGGAGTAACACCTTAGTTCTTAGGAAGGGCGAGCCATAAGCATTACCCATGGCATCATTATTCTATGAAGTCAATGGTGCTATTTATCAATGATTATCGCTCTCTATCAACTGAGTTATTAGCTTTTTTATTATTCCAAGTTGTATAAAAAAGTGAAAGTATTTAATCTACGTAAAACGAGAAAAATTGCCTTTATAGTAAAGGCAATTTTTCAGTGACTTTCGTAGTGTAATGATTAAGCATATTGGATGTAAGTGATATTCAAAATTTGATTATTTTTTCTAAATTTCTAATTGCTCGAAATATGTACTTTTTCATCTTTATGCAACGTAGAATGACAAACACAGAGGACCTGATGGAATGTGATTATCTTCGCCTATGAACATGATCAGATAGATACGAATAGATACTTTTATTGTTTGCCTCAACGACGGTAACATAATGATATAAATAAAATTAACCACTTACTTATATTTCTCTATGAATTCTTTATATTCATCCTGAGGCCTTAGGTTTTGAATAGTTGATTCTACTTTTGTTTGTATTTCTCTGAATTTATCTGTACTAAAATCTGATCGTTGCACCACTTCTAAAAGAATACCCTTCCTGTGGACAATAATTGTTATTAAAATTTTGTAAATCATAAATTATTATTATGGACATGAATTTCAATTGTAAAATAAAATATCAAATTCATTCAAACCTCTCCAGACTCAAGACTGATTAAATTTGACAGAGTCACGTATATTTTAACATCCAAATATATTTTGTAAAGATACGCATGGAGGCATTCATTATTTAGAAGACGAGAAAGAAGTCAAGCAAAATCTCATAATAAAAGACAATCTGGTAATAAAGCTATTACGAGATTTTGCTACCCGTGACTTTATCCGTGTGACCGGGATAAAAAACTGAAAATCCCTATTTTTCTTTTTCCCATGCAAATTTCCTGGCTGCCAATTTAAACATTTCACAGACGGATTACCACAACCCAATAGCTTTTAACAGAATGACGTCTCTCAGGTCAATTACGAGTAGTTGACCCGATGGGCGTCGTCTATAATATAAATAACATCATTTCAGTCATTAACTGTCCACTTCTGAATATAAGCTATCCTCATATGTGTAGTTTTATCAATAGTTGCCATGCTTGGCAGGCGGGTTGGCAACCGCAATTAAGCTTTTACATATATCTTAAGAGGGACGTTGCTGCCCATCTTTCTACCATTAAGTTTCTTTACAACCTCTTACTACACCGACAGGAAAGCAAGAGGGGCCTATTCATCATCGTTTATTAATACAGTTTCATAAATATAACCTACAACAGGATTTCGGATTGTTATATTTCTGTCACACATATTTGCATTCCGTAAATACCAGCTTACCAAGAAGTAGCCGTAGCTTCACCCTGCCTCCGTTGTTGGTCTAACAGCGACGGTAACGCTGCCGTCCGCAATGCTCGCTCGCACTCCGTAGCCTCCGCCAATAAAAGGACGTACTCATTGTGTGCTCTGTGCAGTCTTCTACAAGCTTTGCCATATTTGTCCCGGGTCTCGTCCAACTTGCGACCACCGCGGCCTGTAGGACCTGAAATATAATACATTTAAGCATTTAATTACGCTTCGAGACAAGAGAGAAATTATCTCTCCTTTTTTTGTGGAATACAGAGTGGCAAACAAGCCTGAACAGCTGAAACAGACTTATCTGATGGAAAATAGTAACCGTCGCCTACAGACATAACATGACACTGACGCCTACAGTACTCCTCATGCGTTACCATTCCTAAGGACTAAAGTGATATGCCTCCGTACTCTGCAATTTCATTGCTTTCACTTTATAAAGAAAATGAGGAAATAGCGGTCTTTAACATCAGACCACCAGCCTCACGAGTTGAATGTGTAAAAATTGCTATGGACAACTTAGTACATATAAAAGGTTATTATGTTCATTGTGTTCCGAGGATAGTTGCAACTTTTTTTCACTCGCTTTTTTATACTCGATACTTTAAAAAATAATACCATATTATGCATATATTTTTTATCAAGATATGACGTTATCTTATAATAATTACCATAATTTTGATAGATTGATGAATATTTGCAATCTTTGTATAAATTTAATCATACTTGGTATGTACCTACTGGAATGAATACGTAGATACTTACGTAGACACTTATATCATTGCATATTAATTTTTATTACTATAGTAATAAAAATTTGTTCTGGTTTGATTCAAGACTTAATTGTTAAAACCCTTTTTAGCAATCTCGTTACATCAATTCAACTTTCACGTTTACGGTTTTTTAAGTTAAGATCCACGGTGGCCCTAGATTACACGCAGACCACCGCGACAGCAGCATTCAACAAATTTTCACGTTAACACAAAGAGCCATAAAGCACACGTAATCGTGGCGAAATACTTAAAATAAATACTTAAAATTTACAACAAAGAGAAAAATAGCTTACATTTTAAGTAGTTTTCTTCGAATTTTGTCCTCATTTGTTTGTACGATTCTAGACATTTCTGGTACTCGCTCTGTTTCCTCTGAACCTCCTCTGAGAGCTGTGGACAAAGGAAAATAATTGTTATTAATAAGATCCAAAATCATGTCATGATAAAAATAAACCACAATTCATAGTAAAAATAGGTATATAACATCGATCATAACAAAACATATTATCCGACTGCCAAAGTATTTATTAAAAGTAGGTTCTTATTTCGTCTGTACGTTTTTGTGGGTAAGTTACGTGAACATGTCATCAATTTTAAAATTACTTTGATAATTATTTTTATAATCGGTAGGGTTAACTCCTATGTTTTTTCCATATATTTGCAAAGTGCATTGTCCTGCACGTTGCAAAGTAAAATCCACATTTCAACCCACTCAAAAAGAAAGTTTTGCATAAACTGCATAAATTATGAACCGATTTCAAAATTATTTTTTATATAGATACTTACAAATTGATTCTATGAAAAAATTATCAAAATCGATTCAGTACTTATTTTTAAATTAAAATAACTGGATTATTATCGTTATCTTTTTTTTTTTAGGGAAAACATTCTTAAATAATTGTAGATACACGACTTCGGCTTCAAAATTGAAATGTTTTCTTCTATCTATTGTGTCTAAAAATATCTCGACGTCCTTTTTGATAATTAAATTCAGTATTTTTTTTTCCGGAGTAAAATGTATTCGTTCAAATGTCTACCTGACTGTACCGTAATTGAGTATTGCGTGTATTAGCAAAATAACTGGACAGAAATTCCCACGACCTCTACATGAGAACGATAACAAACGAAGCTTACTTTCTTACGATTTAAAATAATGTAATACCTTGTAATCGAAACATAAAGTACGTACACTCAGCGAAAAAATGCATCTGGTGAGCAATTGCGCGTGCTGAGATTTTTAATAGTATAATTTACCTATACCTCATAATCAGCGTGACTGTTTCTCTCGTGCTTTTACTACTATCACGCTGGCCAGGAGGATTGTCATGGAATTATATATGTTTTCCCGCTCATGCATTCCCGTACATGTAAATCATATAATAATAAAATATATGATCACTTATTTCACAAAAACTAATTTCAATATTATCAATTTTCAGTACAAATAAATGTGTACAGTACTAAAATAAAAATTAATCATCAAAATCAGTTTAATATACATAAAATATAATACCATTGAGAACTTCCTTTTTAAAATAGATTAATAAATTTGTGGAAAAGAATAAGTTTATTCTGTAATTACATTGAATTGCAGAAATCACTGATTAATTTCTCAGCGTAAAGATTTAAATCATTATCATATCCCCACTGCTGGACATAAGGCTCCCCCAAAAGGGGGGTTTTACCAGTAGTATTTAAATAAGAATTTGAATGAATATTAACATTTCCATGCGTTTACCTAAGTAGTTACCAAAGTGGATGCTGGTCATTTGGAATCTGTAGACCCTAATAACTCAATAATAATTATTGAGTTATTGAGGTTTACAGATCCCAAATATATAGATACAGCCTATAGATACAGGACGACGCCATTTTGTTTGCAGACGGTAAAATGTTTTTCGTTACATGAATAAGGCATTATCCAATTTCACGCTGCCTTAAAGCTTAGTACCTTCACAAAGATTTAAAAGTAATGTGAAATAAAAACAACCACTTAACAATATAACTTAACACGTCGTAAATTACTATAGCCAAGCACTCACGCTATAAAGCAATCAATATTACTAGTACATGCGCTGACGCAGCGTTCGAGTGGCACCGGAAATATTTTGAATTACTGTTACTCCTTAGCACTATAACACAGGGTCATATATGCCATAATATATACGCATGTTACATAAGGAAAAGGTGAGACAAGGATCAATATTTGCACTACTAATTGTTTGTTGTTAGAAGTCTTTGACATTCGGCCGGTTATATCTGCTTATTCTGCACCTAGCTTAAAGATAAATATAATTTAATTTTAATTATAAATCTTGTAACATACTTATTGTACATGATACTATATTTGTGCATTTACAGTTACAGTTACAGTGTAAAAGACGGACTAAACGTCATACTGACGCTGTCTACCAGTCAATCATAAAAAGAAAGAACAGAAAACACGAGTGTGGCGTTTTACTCGTCATCATCATAATCAAATCATAATACGCCTTTTGTATTTTTCTACTGATTTCTATTGTCTTTTGTTTTACATTTCTATCATTTATAGTCTTTATGTTTTCCTATCGATAAAAATGTAATAAAAAGGAACTACAATATGAAGCATTTTTATTATCAACCCGTTACTCTTAACGAGTATAACTGGAGCTGCAGCGTATATTAAGACGAGTATGTTACTATAGTATATAGTACTATTTTTTTATACAACTTAAAATGGCAAACAAGCTGACGGCCCACCTGATGGAAAGTGGTAACCGTCGCCTATAGACATGAGCAGTGCCATGGACGTAACAGAGTATACTGTTTCAGATGTTATTCCTCTGTACCCTGTAAATTCACTTCATATCTCACCCTTCAAACCGAAACACAGCCATGCAAACACAACTGCTTCACACTAGAAACACGAATAGGGCAGAGGTGTCCAAGCAAACAACTTTTGTACAAAGTCTCTCTATATTTAAGCTATTCATTTCAGAACTCATTTTACCAGTTACTAATTACATAAATGGTTTTTCCCATTTTTTTTTTTTTTTTTTTATTATTCTATATTAAATAAGTAACAATGAACTTACATCTGTAGAATTTTTTTTTCTAAAATGCAATTTACATTCCATCATAAAAATAAAAGAATTAAAGACCGAATCTGAAATAACGTATACAACACAATCATCATTAGGTGAATCATCACCCTTAATGACATTACAGATTATTTAATCCTCAAAACTCAAAGTCCTGCTGGCTCTCAGTAAATAAGAATATTCATAACTGTGAAACCCAATCTACCTTTAAACTTTGAAGGCAGACTTAATTGGAAAACATTAAAGAATTCTCTAAACAAATGGCAAAATCAATTACCAATTGGTTTAACCGTGAATTCACATAGTAAGGCAAATATAACTTATAAAGGTAAGTTTATCCTCATTACTAGAAATATACCCTGTCAAGTAGATCTTCACACAGAGTTCCTTCTAGACACCATCGTAATAAGTTTCTAGTGAAATTGCGCTATAAGCCAACTGACCTCTTGATCCTCATCTAACATTACTTATTAGGGGGTAGGAATTGTTAGTAATGCGGACTACCAGTCCCATTGCTAGCAATATATCCTGCCAGCTCGAATTCCACGTAGTGCCCCATGAAAACCATTGTACTAAATTTCACGTGTATTCATCACGATGGGCTAAATGACCTGTCTTTTTATTTTTACCTGTCATCCCTCACTGATGCCCCGCCAACGTATACCGTTAGCGCAAGCGGAGTTACCGTTTTATTATCTCCATTAAAAAAAAATCACTCACTGGTACCTACCCCATCAGCATATACCAATAATGTAGACAGGGTTACCACTCCGTTGTTATAAAAAATTATAATGCTGTAGATAATATAAATATTGTATAGGTTACATTTATTATTTAACTTCGTTTTATATAAATAGAAACATCGGTTCCATCCTTCACAAAGTTTACTCAACTAAAATGGTATTTCGACATCGGGCAAACAAACAAATGCGTTTTATTTTTTACATTTACCGACAGTTCTTAGAAATACCGTTAGTATTTGTAATGCTTTGTCTACTTTCGTTCCTACTTATGTGACAATGTTACTTTCCGCTTTTGTTCCAGACGCCTATTGAAGTTTATTCAACGTGTAATTGCCAGCATTAACCGCAGCCTCCGAGTTGCCTGACAGGTTTTTAGACAACCTACACAATACTATTGCAAATTCATTGCATCGAAACTTTCTCTTCTTTGCAATCAGAAGCAATTATTGCAAATAAAAACTTTGGCCCAAAATATAAAATGTGATTTTACTTATTTATTTACTAGAAACGGCGGCATGTTAATATTTACATTGGTATTTAAGCAGGTAATTTTTACACTACAGGGAGACTGTACAAAAATCTCTATATTGGTAAATCAAGTCTACACGGGTACATCACGCGTAGTTCTATTTCGACCTCTAATAGCAGATTGCAGTTTTGATTTTATGATATGGCAGTAAAATTTCAGAATATTGGAAGCATATAAAACTTTGGTCCTCAGGAATGGCATCGCATTAGGGTTACATTACCATAGATATAACAATATATTCTATATTCTTCACGACGCTAATAATGTCTATAGATGTGTTAGATCATATTTATATATTAGTATCACATTTGTACATTAGAAGGATAGGGCAAACTTTCTCTAGCGGCTATTCCCGCGTGAATCAAATAAAAAGTAGGTATCCTATATGTTAAGCAAGGTTTATAATCTATCTGTGTTCTAAATTCCATTTAAATCCATTCTGACAAAATTGTATAAAAGTTACGTTTTGCGTAATCGATTTTGAGATACATCCTCAGGAAATTCCCATGGGAGCATAGGATAACGGATTTCGGATAGTCAAAGCAGCCGGAAACAGTTTCATAGTTAGTTTATATTTATATAAACAGAGAGTATTTAAGTATATATACAGAGTTTATTCTTTTCACGTAAATTAAAATAAAAAGCATTTTATATGTTAACCTAAGTTATTATCTATTCCTTTACTAAAATTTACATTCAACTGTGATTTAATAAGAAACTTTATAACTTTTGCATTTACTCTTATATTATTAGTTAGCATGCATGGGGTTCTTCAAAAGATGGTAAAGAGATTTCTTCAGGGTCGGCAACGCACGCGTAATATCTCTGGTATTGCAGGTGTTCATAGGCTACGGTAACCACTTACCATCAGGTGGGCCGTATACTTGTTTGCCACCTCAGTGGTATAAAAAAAAATAGTAGAATCTATGGCCACCAATGAAATATGAATATTAAAACGTTTAATTACTTACTCGTATTACTGTGTGCCTTTCGTGAGCAGTAGTTATTACTGTTTACACGTCATGCCTCATATACGGA